GATGATGGATGAATGAGTTATAAGATAGACCGTAGTTCATGAATTTCTCAAAATTAACTTCAAAATTGTCTCAAAAATAAGAAAGTTTGTGGCTTGTGCTGGCCAGTTCAATTTTGACCTGATTCATTCCAATGCCTGTGAAAAATTGATGTGATTGGCAAATTGAGATATCATCTAGCTTTGTGATTGATTGTATGTCTGAATGAGAAACAATTGCCATCATATTTTCACCAATTGTACTTTTGCTTTATTTTAAATCATTCGTCAAGTTGCCCAATGAATGATTAGATAGTTAACTAATGAATAACTAATCATTCCAATTAATTGGTTAGTTACAATGAGTTCTCTATTTAAGTACTAGAGAATAACTTTTAAAGGTGTAATTCTCTAGTTCTTAAATAGATAACTAATTGTAAACATTTTAAAGGCAACTCTTGCTTCTATTTCTTTCAATAAAAGGAAAATACTTAGTTTGATTTACTTCACAATGCCTCCAAAGTATTCTAAGAAGAATCTGCAGTTCCAAGATGAGCACGCGGTCAAGTATGATATGAAGATCACTGCTCGAGACTTGCAGACAAGCGCAATCTCCAACGTCACTTGTTGCTTTTGCATTGTTTTTGGAAAGGAGTAGGCAGTTGGCAAGAAGCCGAAAGCTACGACCAATGTGAAATATTACAACTTGTTCTGCACTAATAATTACAAATCGCATATCAAGACGCACCATGCACAAAAGTGAAAAGAGCATCGCAAGCTCTAGACTGCTTAGGAAAGAAAGCGTTCTTTGTGAATCAATCTGTGATTTTTATCAAAATGATGATAGCTCATTTTGCAGGTGATGATTCTTTGCAATATTTGATCAATAAGTCCATTGTGGAGGCTATCATTGGGAAGTTGTTTTTTCATCTTGATGATGTCAAAAGAGTTACCCATAATCGGACTCCATCTCATTTTAAATTGTAGTCTATTGAGGATGCAAGTGATGATGACCTTTGAGGAGACAAATACATGGTTGTTGTTAAGACACCGCAACGATTTCTTCTTTGCATCCAATACATGAGATGCGGTGCCGCTTTTTGATAGACATCTTGTTTGTTGCAAGCGACTTAGGAGCAAACTGATTTATCATATCTAGGAGGTTGCAGCAATGTCATGGCATCAAATTATTCAAGAATCGCCAGCGCTGTATTAGTTCAAATAATTTTGGATAAGATGTCGCAAGTGTGGACGTTTTTCATCGCGTTGGATTGTTCCACTTATCAATTGATGTCTTATCCCAATGTTTGTTCTCAAATGAACATTCAATCTAGTATCCAAAACTTCCATCTCCTGCCTATACCTTTGTTCAATCGTGTGGTGCCTAGTTTTTTGTTTTTTTTAAAAATTAACAAAAACTTAAACATATTTGTGTTAGAATGTAGACGTATAAGTCCGAAGTGATAGAAGTTAGAAGAATTATGGGAAATTTAGTTAGAATTTGCCTTCGGCTGAAGACCTTCGAATCTTTGGACCTTCGGCACAGTCTTTTTGGAGGATGCAATAGCTGGGTTTTTGGCAAAGACCCGAAGATCAATTTGAAATTCGCAAAAGACCGGACAATGTTTGCACGCGCCGAGGGCACCAATTCGCGCGCGTGGGAAGAACGTTAGGGCATCGAGGGTAAGGGCAATACGAGGAGCATTAGCGCCGACATTGCGATACTGAGCGAGAACGAGCGAGAGAGAGAAAGGGTGGAATCGATCAACCTTGCTAGCAGCGAAGACGCAAGTTGAAGACATGGCGCCACCCAAGACGACCAAGGTCCGGAAATTGGTCGTGCTGAAGGTGCCTTACAAACTTTTGCGACCCTATAGACAGGAGCTCAGCGAATTGCACCTCGATTTCTTTCTGTGGAATTGGAACTGCATATCGGCGAGTATTTGCAAGGAGATCATGGACAAGAACCGGAATGACGGTGAGGATCTTTGAGGCAATCCGATGCTGTGGACGATTGAGCATTGGACGAGCGTGCTAGGGCCGTGTGCACGCCACGACGGACCATACGATTCCGAAAACCCTTATCTCCCAAGGGCCTTGACTCCTCAAGTGAAAACTTCTGAATTTCCACCAAATTTTCCACTGAATAAATGCAAACTCAATTCAAATTTCAACTAAACCTTAATGGGAGTTCTTTGAGTGATAAAATAGGAAATCCTCCCCACTGGAATTCCGTCGGTCTGATTACCCTACAAGCAACAAAACCGTCACCGTCACAAACATAAGTCGAGCCCAACTTACTCCACACTCGGAGATTCCAGATCGACGCTAATGAGCACTACTCTCAACGCGCTAGGCTCGACTCGAAAGACTGACGTTCTTTGAGCTGTCCCCGACCCTGTACCTCTCTCGACCTGAAACTCTAACTCAACATCTAAATATAGTAAGTACAAGAAACTGAGTGACACGATGTTGAAGTTAACTCTAGTTTAGGAGTTAACCGAGGTTAGTTAACTAAGGTTAACCACTAACTAAGGTTAATCGCATATGTAGCTATTTATAGATTAGAGTATTTGACTTCCTCTGGTATATATACCCTGAGGATGATCAGAAGATCATCACCTCAAGCATTCGAGCAGTAAATTCTCTAGTACTCTTCTCCCCGTGGACGTAGCTCTTGAGGGTGAACCACGTTATACTCTCGTGTCTCTAGTATCGTTGTGACCGAAATGATGAGCGGTTCTGAGTTTTAACGTTTACAATTGATATTTTTCTAGTTGTGACAAGTTTTTTTTGTTTTTGTATTTGTTTTAGTGTTTTTTCATTTTGCGTTATATTGACAATTTTTTTGACCGTGACAAGTTTTTGTAGTGTTTTTTCATTTTGCGTTATACTGACAGTTTCCATTTTTTATTCTGAGAAGTTTTCTAAGCATGACTGTTTTTTCTCCAATGTGATTTTGATAGATATCTGGCTGTGACAAGTTTGAGAAGAGCTGAGCAGTTTATTGAGCTGAAAATTTTCTCGTAGTTTTCTGTTTCTACTCTCAGTTTTTTCTCTTTGAGTTTGCTTGCAAGCTCAAAACGAAAGTGCCTACCACTAGTTTATCAAGGTGCACACCAGCAGATTTCATCTTGTTGTAAGTGCGGATGGCATCACAAGGTCTATTGGACTTGTTGTAGGCCTTGATCAAGCTGATGTATGTGACTCTGTCCAGCTCCAGCGGAGCGACCTTCATTTGTGTTGCTTCTCTCATAGTGTAAATTTTGGCATTCACAAGGTTTCCAGCAGCCTGCATCTCTTCAAAAGCTTAATGAGTTCCCTCAGCTTCCCGACCCTGATGTAAGTGTTTATGAGAATTGATTGCAGAATCAAGCATCCCTACTTTGCCATAAAGATCAACCAAAACGCTGTTAGGTTGGGCTGCATACGTCGGGACTTCATGTGGGTCACAATTTCTTGTGCTTCGTGCACCCTGCCCACATTTCGACAAGCTGAGAGGAGCGCGAAGTAGATGATCCTGTCAACAGGGCGCTAGTGGTCCTTTTAGGTGCTCAAAGAAGGCCTCGGCAAACCGACCATTTCGAGCGAAAGCAGCGAGGACCAAAGTCCAATAGGGTTTGTGCATGCGAGCGGTAGGGCAGGAAACCGCTCCTCCGCTTCTCTTTCTTGCCCGCACGGTTAGGGCAAAAGGAAGACCGTGAGTGAGGAGACCTCCTCCCACCCCATGGCAAGAGAGGAGAGAAGAGCGGCACCCATCTCCTTTTTTTTAAAAAAAAAGAGACTCCCCCTTCGGAGAGGAGAGGAGCAGAGAGCGGCACCCCCCTTTTTTAGCAAGAGGTAAACCCTCCCCCTTCACAGAGAGGAGAGGAGAGCTGACCTTTCCCCGTCGTAGAGCAAGAGAGGAGGAGCGGAGAGCGTCACCCACCCCCCTTCTTTTTCAGGAGCGTATCACACCCTTCGCAGAGAGGAGCGAAGAGCGGACCTCATTGCAACCGCAAGGCAAGAGAGGAGAGGAGCGGGACGTAGCAGGTCGACGTGGTTGGAGCGGCTACCTGGCTGCCCCCCTTCCCCTAGAAGGAAGGAAGGAACCTTGAACGTTGATTTGAACGTGGTTGCAGTCGTGGTCGGAAGTCAGACGTGGTCGGAGGAGTAACGCAGTCAACGGTCGAACGACGATAACGGTGACGGTGACATCAACTAAAGCATCTAGACGCTTCTCAGGACCTGAAAGATGACTCAAAAGGAAGAAATTGACTCGGAAGCTACCATTGTCTCTCATTTTCGACGTGTAGAGTCTGTAGGTTGACAAGTCGGTGGCAATTTTGGATATAACATCATACCTTTCGATGGCCATGGTGATTATTTGCTTTGGGAAAAGCAAGTAAAAACAAAATTATGATCCATGGATCTCACTATATGCATGGGAGAAAAACCTTCTAGCATATACGACATTGAATGGGCTGCTGTTTAGGATTAGACAGTTTGCACGGTGTCTACATATTTAGACCCTACTAAACTCAAGCAGGTTGAGGAGTACTCTGAAGTTTCCAAATTACTTGATGCGCTTCAGCAACGGTTCCATCAGAAGAATCCAACGATTGTGATGAACACTTACATGCGATTGTTACAGTTTACTATGAAGCCCGGCACGCGCATAGAAGACCACATTCACGCCTATGGAAATCTATTGGTGGATCTTTGGAATATGATGGAAGAGCTTACTGACACAAAGAAGTCAATGCATCTTCTTCACTCATTGCCTTCTACCTATCAGACACTATCAAAGATTCTTCTTCGTCATTAGAACACAACAGTCACTTATAACGAGGTTGTAAGTGCAGTCCTGACGGATGCAGTTGGGCAGGATTTGTTATCTCCTTCCATCCCATCCACTTCTGGGACAGCACTTATTATGGCAAGAGTTCAATCACAACCGAGAGACATCCATGATTCACGGCGTCCAGGCTTGAAAAGGCAAAGATCAAAATCTCGTGACCGAAGGAAAGTACAGTTTATGGCTCAACCATTTGACAAGAAGAATGTTGTTTGTTGGAGTTGTGATAAGAAAGGCACATCATGAAGTTTTGCCGGATGACAAGTACAAACTCCCCTTAAGTGGCGAACGTTGCTGAACATTTTGATACTGAGGCGAACAACTTGTACACGGATAGTCTATGATGCCAGAGGTATGCCCTCTACAATTCACCGCAAGTTGTTGATGATATATGGATTCTAAACAGTGCTTGTTCTTATCACATTGTTCTTATCTTAAACTCATTGACGGATACTAGTTGGATACTAGTTGGTCACAAGTGACCAACTAGTATCCGTCAATTCCAGACTGGTGGCCACCACATATTTCTAGTGGTCGCCGCTAGCTTTCCGGATTAGCAGCCGGGTGCCAATAAGCCCCATCGTTAATCGCTGCCATTCTATCTGGGACCTAACCTACTCCTAGAATTACTCAAACCGTGGGCTCTGCTGGACATCATGGGAACCCTGTATGAGCCTGCTCATCTGGTCCCTTGTGAACCTAAGATGCTCCTCCTTGTCCGGTCGGTACTCATAACCACGTCAGGTCTCCAAGGTGAACTGCCTCTAATCGATAATGTAGGTAAAGTAAGTAGGCAAAACAGATCCAACTTAGGAAAAAGTATTGGCTGTGCGGGTTAGGTTTGGGGATTTGCTTCTAAACCTCGGCGGGTTCTTGGTGATCTGCCCGAACTGCTCGCGCGGTGAGCAAGCAGACGGCATGAAGGCTCGGCGCTTCCCCACTAATTCAAGCACGGGGACTCAACTAGAAGAAAGGTGACTACCTGGCTGGCATCAAACATACAACTGCTACACCTCCAACTAGCAAGCATCTACTTATCTTTCTCCCTGTCTGCCTCCCTTCCTGTTTCTCTGTCTACCCTCCACCCCATCGGCATACTACATTAGCATATTAAGTACAATAACAACCGAGTTCGCTGACTCACTAACTTCCCACTAACTACTGGAAGAACAAAGACTGCGCAATCTCATGCACAACTGCTGTCTAAACAATTTCCCCACAAGAGATGAATCTTCAGTCCACAACAAGATATTGTCGTGACTTAACCCTGAGCAGAGCTCCCCCATCACATCTCTGCTCGGTTGCGCCTCTGCATCTGCTATGCTCCTCTGTCAATAGTCTACTCCAAACAAACAAAATCGGAACAATGAGCATGACGACTAACTTCACCTTCCAGGTCGTTGATCGATGAGGCGCTCAGATCCAATTCCACATCAACGTCGACACTGTGGGCAGTTTATCCATTTCAGCGCCAGAGCTGACTCACACAACAAAAACTTGAATCCTACCTCTCGCCATCATCATCATTCGTTGCTTGAACTTGACTGCATCAGATGATCCAACTACAGGGATCCATCCGCTTGCGCTTTGGCTGCAGATAAGGACAATAGCTCGCTGCCCAAGACATGATCGGCGACGGTGGCATTCGCATACAGCGCATAGAGCCAGTTGGAGGTGCATTGGTGGCAGACGCAGCTAGATATGGAGTTTTTTTTTGAATCCACTGGCACAGCATCTGATGGAACTCCAACAGGCCCCTTTCTCATTGCCTCTAAAGCCCACAATTGGGAAGCACCCAAATCAGGTTCAGACTTTCTCAAAGAATCCAGCTTTTCCAAATTTGAGCTTCCCGCTTTATCCGCTATGGTTCTTCCGTCAGCACCATAACATCTCGTTCTCATTCTCAAAACAAGTGCAGCTGCCCACTTTCCACCAGCATTCTTAGATTGATTCCCGTCTTTGGGGCAAATGAGCTTCTGCTGGATGGAATGGTTGACTTTGACAAATACCCTATAGAAGTTGAAGCTTAAAGGAAGACCTCACCCAGTCCCATAGAAGCGGGGAGAGTGACGGGGATAAGGCTAAGCCATTCAAGACTAGATATCCACCACTTAGATTAAAAGCAGTAAAAGCAGCTAGCAAGCTAGAATAGAGCCTTGCAACTTCTGGTGATCCAAGAGGCTTCTTCTCCTTAGCTGATCCTCCCTGCAAGGCCTGTATTCCAGCAGGATACTCTTTTGCAGAGGTGGAGTTCTTACAAACTTTGAGTAGTTGCTGGAGATGCCAGGTCTGATGCACAAGTTCCAAATTCTCCTAGAGAAGTTGATGCACAACCGTGAAACTATCATTGCTACTGTGATCTATGGAACTACTAGCACTGTCCATAAATATTCCAAAGTGATTTATGTCACCTTTATCACAATCTTCAGAAGTATACCTTGATCTAAACCGCTACTGCTGTTGTTTGTTGTCGATCTAGGGTCTCAAATCACTCAGTAAACAACAAAGGGCATGTACATAATCCTCAAAATCCAATCCTTTACCAAACGGTCCCACAATTTCTTTGCCTTCAAGATTTGCTGGGCTTGATCCAGAAGCCAAACTGACCATGTTAGCCAAAGCCCATAGTGAAGGGGGGAATATTTCAAGTTCCTGCTTTACTTCACTCATCTGCGTATGAGACGAAGTTGCAGCCTTCATCGGTCCGCTCATAGAAACCCCAAATGACCAAAGACAAGGTGCCAACGCAGAAGGGTGCTGAAGGGCAGGGACAAGTGAAGGAGAAATGTGTTGAACAAGGAAAGGTATTGTAAGTATGTGGGCAACAAAACTTTCAGCTGCGCAAACGCATGAGGCTTCTGAAGTTTGGTTGCCGTCATTTACTTCAAGATGAGCTAGATACGCTGCCGACAAGACTGTTAAGGGCCTTAAAGCCATGGTTACAGCACTTGCTGTAACAATGAACTTGTTCCGTTCGAGAGGATGATCGTTATCCTTACCAGTCTTTGGGATGGGGAAATTAGTCGACACATAAGAACGAACGGCCAAAAAAGCCCAGAGTTCCCCTTTACCAACCACTTAAGGAGACCCAGTACAGCTAAGTTGGCCTTGTCTCGGCTTTCTTGCAAAGACGAACTCTTCCACATGCTTGCATCCCTCATTGCGACCATAGCATGTATGGCCAAACTTGGCAAGATTGTCCTTGCTCCTTCTATACTATTCCATGCAGAGCCGTTGTTCGCCAAAACTACACTGCAGAGTTTTAGGATCTTGTGAGCTTGATAAACCCATCTGGATTGCTACTCTAAAGAACCAATGACCAATGAGCAGTAGTTACTTCAAGATCAATAGAGCTGATACTATCAAGAAGAAGCTTGAAGCATGGAGCGATTCTTTCCACGTTCTTGGCAGCTCTTGAGCCGTGGAACGAGAGGCCTGAAGGACGGCTGAAGAGGAAGAGAAAAGGTCTCAGGACCTTTTGAGATATGTCGTCTGCTGCATTAGGAGCCATGAGTGTGCTTTTTGTTAATTATCCCTGCATCCGAGTGTGCTTCTCCCCGCTCAACTGGTTCTGGAGCAGCCCTTCGTCCTCTCTAGCCTAAACCGCGCCGTTCCTCGGTTGATTTCCACGCACAGACCACTATCCTCACAATCTTGAGTATCCCATCCTCCCTCATTCTATTTCCACAATTCTCCTCCACCCTAGAACCCCAATCAGCACCAAGATAAGAAGAAGAAATCCACAAAGATTTCGTGGAATCCACGTGGATTTCTTCCGCGACCGCAGCGCCCTGCTCTCAATTGTGGTTCACACCACGCCGAATATTTCAGTTTTGCTCCCAGAAGTTGGCCGCCACAGAGTCGCAACAACACTTCTCTTCCTCCTCCAATCCACGACCAATCACCAAATCTCATCCTCACATGGCCGATCGATCGATAGACATAGACACTATGAGAGACAGAGAGAAAGAAAGGAAAAGAGAGATATTGAGATTGAGATTTCCGCCTCACAAGGAGCACTTCAACAAATTTTTGCAAAGAATGACAAGAAAGATCAAATCGTGTGCTCTGACGCGAGGGTATAGAGAGATTTGAAGATAAAGAAAGAGAGATGGAAGGGGGACAGATGCGGATATTGGCATGCGAGTGTGAGTGCGCTTCCTAAATGGCCATCGCTTGTAAGCCCGTCCTCCTCCTCCTCTTCTTGCTATTCATTCCCTATCACTACCCTACGATCAAATCTCAGCTACTATCAAAACCCCGAATGGATCCGTCATGCCTCCTGGCCAAACATCCCGACGAGCGAACCCCTCTTGATGCCCTCGTTGCCCGCCTCTCTTTTGTCCTTGTCCAATGAGCCAGTTCTCGCTAACTGGAGAGTGGGACAGAGAGAATAGAAAGAAATCCAAAGAACCGAACGCGAGGGACTCAATGCGAAGAAACACCATCAAAAACACGGCACGCCCCTCCTCTTAGTACCTGAAGCCCCAAGTACAAATGCAAGCAATCCTTCAAGAAACGGATCGATCGATTGATGATCCCCTCCGCCATTGCCGCCAATACCTCTGCCTAGTCATGTCATACGATCTCTCTCTACCATTCCATTGTTCTCACGCACCAGGCGGATAATGCCCCGACTCACTCTGTCCGATGGACTGACTCTCTCCGCGGACGTACGCCCATCGGTCCCAACAGCCTTCATCGGTCGAAAGCCAGTCACATAGCCATAGACAGGCCCAAGCCCGTTTGCAACATCGGCACAGCTACCACCAACACCGGATCAGTGCAGCGACAGCATCAGAAGCTGCAGCCCCAGCACCGGATGAGGCAGAGATGGCAACTGCAACCACGACAAAAACCCTTTTTCCTTGCTCCTCTTTCCTCCATCTCATCCTCAACCTTCTTATCGGTAGTTACTACACACTAACCTATAAACTTACTTCTTTTATTAAAAAAAACTTCATTTTTATAAAAAATTTTTGGCCAAAAATACTTGTTCGGCCGGATACTAGTGGAATTCACTTTCCACATTACCCCTTTTTCACTCGTGAGCGTCCTCGCAAACGTCGTCCGATCAGTAGAGTTTCACGCAGAACCTATTGACCCTTGTGTCTGACGGATTTCCCCCTAGATCCAAAAGTTGTAATGATCCATTTGAGTATATTTTGTCTACCCGAAAAGGTCCCATCCACCGGGTGTGCAACTTACATGAAAAATTCTTGTTTCGACTATCGACTACTGGTCCACCTTCTTCTAATCTCTTCTCCAACGTTATTTGTTTGTTGTACACCTCCTTCCGTTTTGCCTGTACTGCTTTCGTCCTCTCTAAGGCGTCCATCCGATCTTCCTCCAATCGGTCAATTTTGTCCAGACGATTAGCCATTCATTCTGTCCGGTCCCCGTGTTTAGCTGCCAGTACCCGTAGTGTCTCTTCTTCCGTCTCAATGGATTGCAAAACTTCCTGCCCAAAAACAAGGTAGTATGGGATCTGTCTTGTAGTGCTCTTGTGGGCCGTATTATAGGCGTAGACGGCTGAGGTGAGCTTCTGGTGCCAATCCGTCTTGTGAGAGGTGACCACTTTGGTCAAATTTTGCAGATGATTCCGTTAGCACCTTTAGTCAATCCATTAGCGTTTGGATTGTATGGTGTAGTCTTATGGTGTTTCACATCATATTGAGTTGTTAGACTGGCCATCACTTTGTTGAGAAAGTGGGTACCCCGGTTAGTCACCAGTTCAAGCGGATGGCCGAACCTCATCATAATCCGTTCGCAGATGAACCGGGCAGATGTTTCAGCGTCATTTTTCTGGGTGGCTCGTGCCTCCACCCATTTGGTGGCATAGTCCGTAGCCAAAATGATGTACCAGTGTCTCTGGGTACCCAACGGATGGATTGATCCGATAAAATTTACCCCCCATTTCTCAAACGGGGCCAGTGGAACAATCAGAGTAAACGGCCAGTGGAACAATCAGACTTCTTGCAACGAAGTCCAAAGATCTTCAGCCAAAGTCTTACCCTTCTTCGCCGAAGACTCCGAGATCTTTGGGGGTATAATCTTCTTTAGTTCCCTGACCTCCTTTACCTTGGGATCCTTCTTCTTCGCTTTCGTTTTATCGCGTTTCACCTTCTCCGAGATAGCTTCCTTCCTACAGCTCGAGCTTCGGCTCTCCACCCGCCCCATCATGGTCTCCTCGTCCGGCCACTCACTCTCTTCTTCCTTATCCTCCGGACTCAGTTCAACCTGGTTTACCTGTGCGTCTTCTTTCGGTGGCGGGGTAATAAACCGCACTTGTGCGCGAGCTGCCCGCAGTTGATTGCACTTGACCGCCGTATGTCTCGGTTGGCGACAGTTGCTGCGGGTACGTAGCCTCTTTTCCTTTGGGGGTGTGGGCTATTAGAGGAATAATGCCCCACCTCCCCGTAGTTAAAACAGGCATGTGGGGAGGTCTGGCTAGTGCTCCTGGCGGCGCCATTCTACGTTGAGGAACCGTAGTGGCCATATCCTTGGGTGCATATCGAGGTATATGAGCTTGCTGTATGGGTGTTACCGGAGTCTCTTCTTGTACTGCATACGCTGTCTCTTTTTGGGTTTTCCGTGTAATACCCACCCGCTTTCCATGCTGGCACCCACTCTACAGCATTTACCGGTTAATACAGCCGGCACTCAACGTTAGCGTCGCTACTTTGCCACAACTCGTACACCAGAGGTTAGCTCTCAACCTTGTAGGTGACTTTCTCTTGTCTTGGTTGCCTACAACATTCACCTTTAGATTGGCGAAGTCCTTGGCTAAGGCATCCACCTTGGATACAATAGACGTGGAGCCTTTTTTGGGCATGGACATGCGCCGGTTCTTCTTTTTGTTAGCCTTCTTCCGCGTTTTCTCCTCTTCGGAGGAAGACAAATCTTCCGACTCACTCGACTCTGAAGACAAAGAGGATTTGCTGGATGATGGCGTGGTCGGTCTTTGTTTCCGCCGGCTGCTTTTAGATTTTTGTTCCTTGTGCGGCCGATCTTTTGGTCGTCTATTCAGCGTGAAAGTCTCATAGGCCTCAGCCGAGACAATCACATTGTCGATGGTCTCACACCTAGCGCGATGGCAGTAGGTCTCCATCTCTCTTGGCAAGCCCGTCACATACTAGTCAATGGCTTGCTGAGTGGAGTAAGACACTCCTTCTCCGGTTTTCGGGATACAATCCAAGAGATCCTAAAATCTTTCAATAAAATCTCTCAAGTTCTCCTTGCGCTCTCTCTAGAGATTTTGCAACTTCGTTAAAACCCGACTATCGTATTCCAACTCCCGGAATCTCCTCAAAAACTTCTACCGGAGCTTAATCCAAGTATCAATTCCCGTGGGAACAGTGCTCTCGTGGTTGTACCAACTTTGAGCTTTCTTACGGAGCAAACCGGGGAAGATACGCATTCGATCTGCGTCGTTATCTTCCTTGTTGGTGATGAAAACCGATTCGAATAACTTGATATAGGAATCCGCATCATCGTCGTCTCCTCTACCCTTGAACTTTGGGTAAGAATGTTTGGTAAAAGGAGGTGGATGATGATTTCCTTGCGGGTTTGCCATCAGACGGTTTGAGGGACCTCCTCTTCTGCCTCCTCCGGATGGGTTAGGTGGAAAGGATGGCCCTCCTCTTGGTGATCCTGGTGGAGATGGGGATCCTCCTCCCCGGCTTCCAGAAGAGCTTGCTGAAGATCTTACGGGACTCGGGACTCTTAACAGGGTCGCCGGCCGAATAGGCAAGAGAGGCGTATTAGCGAGCCGCCCTTCAATATCCTACACCACCGTCTGCACTCGTCATTCTGTGTCAGTCTTTAGATCTAACACCGTGTGAAAGACTCTAGAACTACCAGGTATCTGGAAGTATGGCGAGGTGTAAAGACGTGGAGCATCCGGATCGTTTGAAGTCGTCAACTCATCGAGGGGTTGAAGATATGCACTAATCAGAATTGACGCCTACTTCTCTCGAATGAAGGCTTCATGCGTAGATGGGAACTCCGCAGGTCGCCTCGTTTGTATGAGTGCGGTCACAGGAAGAAGGGGATCTTGCTTCTTCCCTTTTTCCCTTTCCTCTGGCCTCGTTCAGGCGGATCTTCAGGTTGATCCTCCTTCTTTTCCTTGCGACGGAGATACCGCACAGTTCGGAAGCTTATCTCGTTGGGGTCATCTCCCATCGACATTCATCGTGCATTGCTGCACACACAACCTTTGTGTTGACGCTCTGTCCTAGGCAGCAGCGTCAAAAGAAAAATTTATCTATGTAATGACAGATAAAAACCAAAATGGAGCATAATGGTACAGATCCGATCCCACGAGGACAGAAACAACCACAAAAGTCATGATTTGTCACTTATTAACATTCTATTGATGTGTTTTACTTCTTAGGCCAATGTCACTCCCAGAAGACACTACCCCGCTATGGCCGAAGACCTGCAGAGCAGAGTATAACCGCACACACAACCTGAAACTTCTCCAATCAACGCATGTGGGAATCGCCTGCGACCCCACACTCAGATTTCAGGGGGAAACCTTCCTAACATTGCATACATCCCGACTTACTCACCCGAATACCCAGATCCAAATTTGCTTATATCCAGAATAGTCCCCGGCTAATCAGAACATTCAAGCTTGATACTCACAACTCCCAATGCGGTAGCTTCAAAAAACAGGAGCGCACTGTGCTCGATGTCTGGATCACACACCAGCACACAGACACACAGTGGATACAGGTTTAGGGTTCAAGACAAGCCAATTGACAGAAAAGCCCCCCAAGGAAAGAGCTTTGGGTCTCTTTATTCACAATGGCAACTCTGGAATCTCAACCGCTTGAGGTGAACTACTCTCAGGTGCATTGCCGTCCGATGTAACGGTTACGGCGTCGTCTGAACTTACATATGCTCCTAACCTACGCAAAACGTTTAGTATCTCTAATTCTCCATTATGTCGTGCCTCATCCAATCCATCAGAAAATGTCTTAACTAACTCTACAATCTGCTTCTGTCCCGTGGATCCGCTGGCCTTAGTACTCATCAACCCTTGCTCTAGCGAATCTAACTTTAGCCACTTCACCAATTGCAATCTCCACATTGCGAATCCACGCAGGCACTTCTCTACATGCAATCTCAACTCGTCGGTCGTCTCATTAGGCAAATGACGGTAGGCCTTCTCTGCCTTCTCCATTCTCCTCCGCGACTCTTTTGATCTCATGGCCTCCTTCCCTAATTGCTCTTGTAACCGTCGACGTTCCGATTTGACCTTTAGTTTACATTCGGCCTCCAAAGATCTAGCTGATTCACAATCTGCCAATTTCTTGGCCCAATTTGACAACTCCTCTTTGTGCTTCTGGATTTCCTCTGACTGACTCGCCAATAGCTCCTCTGCGCATCGGAATTCCTTGTCACACTTACTCGCAATCTCCGCAATCGTACTGCGAAGTTCCTATTCCGCCGTCTTCGCATCTGCAATCTTCCCCCAAACTTCTTCGACGATACGAACTTCTTTGGCTCTTCGGGCTTCGGCTTTAGCGAGCGCCTCAGCATGCATGTTCTTCCGCCTCCTGGTAGTCGTGATCAGTCTTTCCAAACGTTGGACTTTGCAAGTTGGTGTACTTCCAAGTATCACCTCAATCTTGTGATCTACTCGCCGCTTTGGTGGTAATCTTGCAGTTAGATCATATGGAAAAATATCTTTATACTCCATAAAAATGTCGTTCAAGGACTCCGAGATGTAAAGTTTGTCCGTGGATCCAATATCTCTTATAAGTCCAAGGAAACATACATCATTTC